TAGGCGGTGCTTGTATTTTTATTGTTCTTCAAGATCTTTTTCATTCAGGTCACCAAACAGTTTACTTTCTTTGTTTCAATCCTTTTTACATGGCCACGGTTATGAATAGGATTCAATTATTTGTTTTTTAGGGTAAAAAATAGTTCATGCATTAGATTGATATTTAGTTTTGTAAATTAAATTTAGGACATGTTTGTTTCTAAAAAATGGTTTTTAAAAAATTATTTTTTAAACTTTCTTGTGTTTGTGATTAAACAAATTGATCAACAAAAAATATTTTTTAGTCAACAAAAAATACTTTCTAGTCAACAGAAAATATTTTTCAGTCAAAGAAAAATTTAGCTTGATTTTTAAGAAAGTCTTTTCCTTTTTTACTGTATTTGTTTTTTTAGAAAATGGTTTCTGGAAAATTACTTTTCAAATTTTCTTATATTTGTTTGCTATTAGGAAAGTTGGTCAACGAAAAACACTTTCCAGTCAAAGAAAAATTTGGCATGGTTTTCAGGAAAGTGTTTTCTTGAAAAATTTAGGCAAAAAACACTTTTCGGAAGTTATGAAAAATTTAAAAATGTCATTATTTGTTGATTGTATCAAATTTAATCCTCAAATTTTTTATTGCTGTATATATATTGTATCAAATTTAATCCTCAAATTTTTTATTGCTGTATATATATATATATTATTTTGAATATTTATTTTTTTAATTTTATTTTTAAAAATTTTATTTTTATATTAATTTTGGTTCTCATTTTTATAATTGTTATTTGCTTCTCTCCTATTATTTTTTTTATTGAAATTTTTTATCTATCAAATTTGGTCCTTATTGTTTTGATTATTACTTATTTTATTTAAAATACTTTATGAAATGTTAATTATTATTATTATTTTAATTTCTTCATCTTTTTTTTTTAGATTTGATCTTTATTATTTTAATTATTATTTTTTTTTAGATAATTTATGAAATTATATATTTTTTTAATTTCATTCTCATTCAACTTTTTAATTTGTAAGATTTGTTCCTTATTATTTTAATAAACTTGAGAAAAATAAAACATTAATAAGTTATTTTTCATAACATAATCAAATACCGAAAAATATTTTTTAGTTCATTTTCCATAACATTATCAAATATAAAAAAATAATTCACTTCACATAAATTTGTTTTTCAAAATAAAACAACTTTTCTGCAAACAAATATAGCCCTAATGTTATTGATTTTTTAAAATAAAATGTATTTAATTAATTAATCAATTAGAAATATATTTGAAATATTGTTTAATAAAATATATATCAATTCTTGCTCAGTTTTTTAAAAAGTTACAGCATATATTATGAACGAACACTTTTTGGTGTATCAATTCATGATGTTTGTTGTTACACATGACACGAGGGGGGCTCTAAAATGGTTTTTGAGGGACTATAGAAGAAAACAAATCAGAGTTTTCACCTAGTTTTTTAAGGAGAATACTAAAACATGCGGTTCTATAAATTCGAGTAAAAGGATGATTATGCTTAAGAGAGAGAAAAATCATCATTTTCACATGATTTTAAATAAAAAATTGCCTTAGTTATGTGTTAAATTTATTTCATATATGTTATTAATTGACCTGTTATTTTATAAGCTTATTTGCAAGATAGTTATTATTAATGGATGAGCATGGAGCTAGTGTCGGACCTTAAACATGAGTCTTGCAACTCAATAAAATTCTCACAAAATGAGATGAGACTAATGCCGTGCAAAAACTATGTTGGTTCATAATTTTTAAAAACTCATCAAATCATTATTAAATTCACTTTAAAATTAAAAAAATATTACCGAGAATCTATGTTGGTCACTAAAATAAGACACACAAACCAAATTATTAAAATTTAAATTTAATTAGAACATGACACCAAAATATTAATAATTTAGATTTGGGAGAGGGCTGGGGTAAAAAAATAAAATAAAATAAAAAAGATGAGGGTTTCATATATCAAAATAACATTGTTTTGATTTTTATTTTTTTTTTATATCTTGATAAAATAATGTCATTTCATTTGCGCAATAATGGACGTCATTTCAGTTAAAACGGGGGAAGCTTCCCTTTTAAGTTAGTCCTTGAATTTTTATTTATTTTTACTAATTACACATTTTCCTAATAATTGCTTTCAATTTAGTCCGTGTTTGCTCATTTTCACAGCCCTCTCATCCCCCCCCTCCCTCTAATTTAGTCTATGGATTCTTATTTAGTCATTTTTGACCAATTACACCTCTTTTATCATCAATTCTTTTAATTTCTCCCATTATAACATGTTTATTTATTATTATTATTATTATTAGATTTTTTAATTTATATTTTGTCTTGCTTGCACAAAAACAAAAACATGTAAAAACTAGGGGGAAAAAACTTTGAAAAATTACCAAAATCAAAGTAAACATGTGGTTTTTTTAATGTATTTTTTTAATTTTTATTTCTTAGTTAGACAAAAAAGTTTTTTGTACTTTTTTTCTACAAGGTATCAAAATTTCGGTAATTACAATATTTTTTTATTGTTTTTTTTATATTTTTTAATTATATAATTAAATAAAAAAATTATCAAACTTAACCCATTCCATGAACTGTGTTGTAGATTAACTTGAGTAGATAAAAAATACCATCATTTTCAAAAGTAATAATTAATATGATAGTTGCTTTTAATTATTTTTAGTTAAATTGAGTTTTGAATAAGAAGAATAGTTATATTTGTACTCACTAGATTAAAATCAAATAGATCACATTACTTCGACTCCATTATAGTTTAATTTAAAATTCATGTCATGTAAGGCCTTCTTGGTAGGGTCAAGTCAAATAAATAAAAAGAAGATTAATTATACTAACAAATTATTGGATTTCATTTTTATTTTTCTAAAAAAATATAGAAAAACAGTTAATAAAAAAAAAGTATACAGCAGGACGCAACACAAGATCAAGGTCTTTTATTTGGATTTATCTTTCAGCTTCTTAATCTAGTCTCATATTGTTGTTAATATTTTTTTTAAATATTTATTGGAGCATGTAATCATCAATTAATTCTATGAAATACACGTGCAATATTTTCAATTCACATTTTAATTTTTTCGAGTTAAAAGAAAATCTCAGCAATGCCCATATATTTTGACTTACATTGAAATCAACTTTGATTCGACCGCGCACAATAAAATTATCTGTTGATCCTCCCATTCACAACGAAATGCAAGCATGGAGACTTAGATGATCCGCAACGAAATGCAGGCACGAAGACTAGTCGCCTCCCAATACCCAAAGCCTACGACATGACCCAAAAAGAATATAATAATTTTTCAATTTGAATGACTATTTGATCTAACCATAACCTATGAATGTGTTATAATTTTATTGGAGTTTTCGAAGAAGCGAGGATTGAACTTGAAACTATTATTCTTATTTATGCAAAAATATCATTAAACTACAAGTTTTACTTGATTACTATAAACCTTGAATATCATGAATATTATTTTTAAATAAATGTAAAAAATTCTTATGTTTCCGCTTACAACAGTATTAGCATTGTAATTATAATTATTTTTTAAATAATTTTTCATGTCAATAATTTTTTTATTTTTTAAAAATTATTTTTAACATTAGTATATTAAAATAATTTGAAAAAATTAAAAAATATATTAATTTAAAATTAATAAAAAATAAAAAAATAATTTTTTTAAAAATACTTTAAACCATAAAAATAAATCAAAAATCAATTTCTCAGGCCCATGTTAGTCTTTGTTTGGATATTGATATTGCGATCGATACAGCAAGAAGACTCCCCAGCATATGATCAAAGAACAAGGAAGAAAGGCTCTTAACTCTCGTTACATGTACTGTGAACCAATTTCTCAAGGCCCATATCGTAAAGGGCTCTGCCAAGCAACGAAAAACCCAACTACAACACTTCAAGGGCAGGCAAGAAGACGAAAGTGCAAGAGCTCAACAGAAGCTCTTGAGCCCTAGAAAGAATGAACAGCCCGGCCTGTCAGCAACTCAAGTTCAATCGATCTACTAATGATTTAGGAATTTGCTCATGTAAGGCGCCCCCAAGTACCACGTTTTTAGCGGCGAACTTAACAAGCTGCACCGAAGAAACCGACTTTAGTACAGGCGGTCCTCCTCCCTCCCATTACAGAAATATCATTATAAATCAATCTTCCTCGTGAACTCTGTCTCCTATCCCTAAAATGGGCAGGCCATTGTCCACCGTTGAAATTCCTGATAGACGATACATTCCTGACCGCCAGAACAGCCGTTACACACCAGAATCTGACGCCTCCCCTGACCATCGCCGCCGCCGTGACCGTGGTAGTCCCTCTTATCAAAGCTACGACGATCGCCGTCGCGAAATCGATCGCGGCAGACGCCGTCGGTCGAGCTCACCCGACTACTCTAGAAGCCCTAGAAGAAGAACAACAAGAAGAAGCCCAAGCCCTAGGCAAAGACAAACCCTAGATCATCCTCTCCCAAAAAAATTCGGCAAGGGCCGGTCTTTTCTTGATAGGAATGGAAGGGAATCGGATGAGGAATCGGATGAGGAATTGAAAGGATTGAGTTTTGAGGAGAGGAGGAGGCTGAAGAGGCAGAAGCTGAGGAAGTCTATGAGGTATTGTATTTGGAATGTTTCGCCAAGTCCTCCGAGAGGGGATAATGAAGAGGAATTTGAGGAGAAAGCGGATAAGATTGAGGAGAAGCATAGAGAGGATGACGCAAAGAGTGATGATTCTAGCGGAAAAGAGAAGGAGAAAGGAAATAATGGAAAGGGGAGAATGGGGTCAGAGAATTCTGGGAGTAGCGAGTCTGAGTCTGAGTCTGAGTCAGATGATTCGACGGAGAAAAGAAGGAGGGGATTGAGTTCTAAACGTAGGAGGAGAAGGAACAGTGATAGTGAATCAGACGCTAGTGAGAGCCAAAGTGAGAGTGAACCCGACTCTGAAGAAGATCGGAAACGGAGAAAGAAGTCCCGGAAAAGTATTAGCAGGCGGAGAAACAGTAGTAAGAGCATTGGTAGAAGAAGAAAGAGTACAAGGAAGAAGAGAAAGTATAGTGATTCTGATTATAGTGGGAGTGAGGAGTCTGGTGATGATCGTGTAAAGTCTAAGAAGAGTCGCTCTTCGGGTTCGCAATATAAGGGGAGCAAGAAGAGAAGCACTGAAACAGAGAGTGGGAATCTGGATTCCAATGAGGGTTCTGGTTCTGAGGAAGACAAAGTAAATGATGATGATGCTGGCAAGGCTGAAACTGATGTTGAGGCATTGATGTTTAAAGAAATGATTGAGGCACAAAAGAAACCCGCTCTGGATAATGAACCTGAGGTTGGGCCAATGCCCTTGCCTAGAGCTGAAGGGCATATTAGTTATGGTGGAGCTTTGAGGCCTGGTGAAGGTGATGCTATTGCTCAGTATGTGCAGCAAGGGAAACGTATTCCACGTAGAGGTGAAGTGGGTCTTTCTGCAGAGGAGATTCAGAAATTTGAGAATCTTGGGTATGTGATGAGTGGTAGTAGGCATCAGAGGATGAATGCCATTCGTATCAGGAAAGAAAACCAAGTTTACAGTGCTGAGGATAAGCGGGCGCTGGCAATGTTTAACTATGAAGAGAAGGCGAAACGTGAACACAAGGTCATGGCTGATTTGCAACGGCTGGTGCAACGTCATATTGGGCAGGATGTTGGCCCTAGCCATGATCCATTTGCTGCAAAAGCATCCGATGGTGCTGATGCTTAGGGAGGTGTGTTATTATTTCTCCTTATAACTTACTTTATCATATTTTCCAGGGCTTTTATCTTGATTGATAATTAGTGGGATGATTTGTTTTCCTTATTGATATTACAATGTATTCGAATGCTTATCATGTGCAATAATGATGGGTTAACTCCTTGTTAGTATCTTAGATGATAAACCTAACCCGAAACTATGTGCTTGGTTAATCAGTTTCCTCAAAACCAGATGAAAGTGTAATAGATCAGAGTGTCTTTGCTATTTGACATAAATAAAAGTACATGCTTAGCCTCGACTAAAGTGTAAATATGGAATGTGATATTTGAAATCGGTACTTGTGAGTGTAGTTGACAAGGAAACTGAAATGATGTTTTTGCAATTACTTGATTGACAGTGAAGAAATGGTTTGGGGTGTAAATGATTTGAAAATGAGAATGAGTACAGGATACTGAATTTTGCTTACTGATCTAAATCTAGATACTGTAAATTAATTTTATGTGAATTAAAGCGAGGTTTGATTATTAGGTTGCAGTCTAGAGTGGAGTTCCCTGTGTTGTAATTTGTTTCTTAGAAATCTTTACGTTGACACATCCCTTTCTTCATATTGTAATTGTGTTAAAAAGTGAAAAAATTTCTACTGGTTTCTTGTTATCATAATTTTATCCTTACTTTCTGGGCTGGTTGCATTTATCAGCTTCAATACTGTTTTAATGTCATTTACACTGGTTATAGTTAGGATTTGGGGTTAGATTTTAGAAAGCTATATTTCCTTTTTAATAATAACAGAAAAGGGAAAGCTGTGATTTCAGTTCAGTGCCTTGGTTATAGGCAATGGGACATGAGTGAAAGATACCTGATAAAATTTTAAATCTTTTCTCTGAAAAGGATAATTATTCAGAGAATAGCTGCATGGTCGTGGTGTTCAATTAAAGGATTTTTGGGGTAGGAATTGCCTTTTTTAACCCCTTAATTTCTGAGTTGAGTATGTTTCATCAGAGGATAGCTGCATGGTTGTGGCGTTCAATTAAAGGATTTTTGGGGTTGGAATTGCCTTTTTTGACCCCTTAATTTCTGAGTTGAGTATGTTTCAAACCTACCCATCAAAATTTTAAGAAGGAGATATAAGAAAGAAATTGCTTCTGTGATAAATCTGCACTTGCATTGCATTTCTCCTTAAATGTTCTCTATAAACAGAAATTAGAGATTGTTTTGCTTGGATACAGGCATCACTGGGAATCAGGACCATGGGAAACATTTGTCTTTTTAGCTTAGGATTATGGATTTCATTCTACATGGTGTTTTCAGTTTGTTAGGTATATGTCCATGGATGATTGGTCTTTGATGGTGGAAAGTTTTCCATGCTGAAGTTGTATAACATGATGTACGTTCTTGCACTAAGTTTATGTTTTCTCCATCTCATCACTGGGTAGGTTTGTCATGTTTTTCTTTTTAATCTGCTTTCTCCTCAGTTATATTTCATGATGTGCTGGGCAAGATTACTATGATTTAGCCCGAGATTTTAAATCATGTTATCTTCCCAGACCACCGAGTAGAAGGGACCCGCCACTGATTGTTTTCCTATAAAGTCTTGGAAACTTTGTTGCATGAAGTATCCTGACATGGATCCATCACGAGCCTGCGAACAAATTTCTTTGACACTTCTGTTTCATGGTCAATAATCTTGAATCTTTAATATGTTCAACTGCGTATGTGCTTTTGTTTCACTATTTTGTTCACACTTTCTTTTTATTCTTGAATTGTCTTATCTATGCTTATGAGAATCGTAATTAGACTATCTACTCGTGAATGCAAAGTCTTTCTTGCTAGAACTTCTGAGTTCTTAAACGCTTTGTGTGTATTGTAGGTATCTGACTGGCAAGAGAAATCCAAGCAAGCAAAAACTGGGAATCTGACGTCTCACTTTTAATTCTGTGCATATCATTCACATGTAAACTGGTTTAGAGAATATTAATGAAGATCTCCATTGTAGGACATGTATGTGCAGACAGAATGTGATATGTTTCAATACTTCTAGGGATCTGGCGAGGGATGCTCATATTTATGCAACTGTATTAACTTAGAGAAAATTGTCTTTTTGTTTGACTAGACTTTTTACAGTTAGATGGGAACTATAATTTTGCACTCCTTTTAATCCTTTTCAAGTTGTCCATTATTTCTGTTATGTTTATGCAGTTTTCTTCTATTCAATTGCCACACTCAGCATTGTCTTGAAGAACCCAGGGCTAAATTTTCAGTTGTTAGGCCGATTTATCTATTCTACCAATGGTGTCCTGTATTTGTTTTATATATATATATATATAGTGGACAGACACTACTTGGAAATTAGACAAACCTACTCTCCAAGCGCTGCATGCTTCGAAGGTTAAAGCTTTGGTTGGGTGATGCTGGAGAGTGTTAAGCATATATATATATATATATATATTATATATTAACTCAATGGCGGTCAGATTATGTTTGTTAGGAAGGATGGAATGGGTAAAGTGGAGGGATGGATAGGGTAGGGTGGGTGACCTTACTATTCTTTTAGTAGTTAGTCAATAAAGGGGGAGGAAGGATAAGAGTCATCTAAATTAAGGAGGGTATTAGAGAGTTTTGTTGATGTTATTTTTCATAGTATTTTTTTATTTGAAATAATATATTTTATATATTTTTTAATATCAGCCCATAAAAAAATAAAAAATATTTAAATTTTAATAAAAAAGGGTTTCAATCTCAAAGCTGATTAGAAGCGGAACTGATCCCTTCTCCTCAATCCTCTCAAGGATTGACTCGCATCCCTTTATTTTTCTATTTGTAATTATCAATGTTTAAAATTGGATGGATTGATTGGGAATTTTTCCTTTGTTGTAGGCCAAATAATTAGATGGGTGATGAGCCATCTATCCTTTCCCCCCTGTGTCCTTTCCGCTCTGCCCTATCCATCCCTCGTAACAGACACGGCTGGAATGCTGCTGGAGCCAAAAGCAGGGAAGAGGTTGATGTCTGCTATGCATGGAAGTGGTAGGGTGAGTGGTGACCGTATTGATAGAGCCGCGTACAAGGACATGTATTCTACTTAGCTGAAGGGGTGAGAATTATGTTCGTTTTGGGGCCTTTTTTTTTTTGAAAAGTTTTGTTTTTTTTAAATATTTTTAGATAATTTTAATATGTTGATATTAAAAATAAATTTTAAAAAATATATTATTTTTACACCTTTCAAAAAATATATATTATAAAAAGCAACCATATATATAACGGTACTACACTCTTTTCGTCCTTTTTTTCTTTAAAAAAAAAAAGATCACGTATTTCAACGGACTGGAAGCTAGACTTGGTTTTATGAGATAAGTTAAAGCCTCTACATATACTCGTAGAAAGTAATGCTTCTTAAAATAAACGTCCTTGTTTTGGCATATTGAATCAGATTATTATGATTGCTACCACCAACTTGTTTATTTTTATATTTTAAAAATATTCTAAAAAAGTTAAATTTTTTTATTTTTTTCACTTTAAATTAATATTTTTTTATGTTTTTATATTATTTTAATGTACTGATATGAAAAATAATTTTTAAAAATTCAAAATATTATTTTAATATATTTCTAAATAAAAAATAATTTGAAAAATAGCTATAATTATACTCTAAACGGTCTCTAATTTTTTGTACAAAAAGAAGAAGAAGATGATCAAAATATAGGAGAAGCTATTTTCTGGTATTTTTTCTGGAAACGACAACAGAGGTTAAACTCGGATATGTAAGAGGATTCTAACCATTTTTTCGGCTCCTCTACCTGACGAGTAATATTTTGTTCAGCCCTTTGATCTCTCTTTGGACCTGAGGCATCATTCGGTAACATATGATGATGGTTCTTTGGAACCGAAACATGATTTGAAAAGAATGCTAGTTGGGCTGGAAACGAAAACATCTTAGCCGGGAAACATGAATGAGAAATTACAATAATTTTTTTTATATATTACAAAAATTAATTGCAAATCCAAAGGTTAATGCATATATTTAATTAATCTGTTGTAAATAATCTTAAATAAAATTAAATACTGTTATGCTACGGGTCAAATAAAATTTCTTTTAACTGTTAAAAATTTATAGAAATGCTAGGAGACCTAAAATTTGATGTATATTGGATGATTTATTTTTAGGATATTAAAATGATCGAATCAAATTGAGCTAGTTTTATTAAATTACAAAACTCTTAACTTGAGTCATGATAACATGATAATCCCAACAAACATAAATTAAAATAAATTATAAATTCTAATTCCAATTAACAAAATAATAATGAAAAAAAATCAATTTTATAAAAGAACCAAAATATTCAACCAATAAATATATTTAAAAAAAATAAAGGACTCAAAAAAATATAGGTTAACAAGCCAAGCTTATCCCACATAATAAAAAAAAAAAAAACAAAACAAAAGGCTAGTCTTAACCAAGCCATTGTCAAAGTATGAGATTATAAAAAAAAATTTAAAATGCCAATAAGTAAATTAGTCCAAGTCATTTCAGGTTGATTTATCAAACTCGTAACCTGGATCATAAAACTAAAATAATTTTATAAAAAAAAACTAACAAAATTATGCTTTTTTAAACAAGTTAAGTGATAATTTATTTTTTCTATTTGAAAATAGTCTAAAACCAAAAATATTGGTTTATACTTTTTTAAAAAAAAAAACAAATATTTGATTTTATTTAAATGAAATTTTTCTTAAAAAAATAAAAAGAAAGTTCTTTTAAAAAAGAGCCTAAGAGGTTGAACTTTATAAACATATTTCTAAGCCCAAATTGAAGGGTAGGGTTACGTGCTTATTCACTTATTTTTTAAAATATTTTAATTATTTAAGTAGATAACAGATTATTTGTCCAATCTTAGTTTTTAGTGATCAGGGTAGAAATATTTGATGCCCAAAAATAAACCCTTTTTATTTAGTTAGAATATATTAAAAAAAAAAACATCATTGAACCCTTGAAAAATCTATATAAAACACCAAATAACTTAAAAATTGATCAAAAAATCTAAAATTAACTCAATTTAAAAAATTTCAAAACTCAAATTTATCATATTAGACAAGAGAAAGAGAAAGGATAAGACGACCTAGATAAAAGTCATTTCATCAAATGGAATTTGTTGCCACAAAAATCATTCTTTTTCATAGTTGAATTAGGTATTAACCAAAACTTTTTCTTTCTTTATTATTATAATCCGACAACACTCTCTTTTTTTATTCTCTCAAACTAAGAACACAAAAATAAAAAAAATAAAATTTTAAACCAAAATTAGATTCATAAAAAATTAAGGGACTGAATAATTTATAACTTGAAAAGTTCAAGGATGAAAATAAACTTTTATTGTTAATTCTGAAACAACCAACCATCCTTCTATTTTTTTATTTTTTTTTTACTTTGATTTTTTATTTTTCAATCTCTCCCTTGCTTAACAAATTTATTTAAATTAGCCTTTAATTTTTTCAATGAAAACAAAAACATAAAAAAAAAATAGCATTATCACAATTTATAATGCCTTGTGTCTTGGTCAACAATGTATTTTTCATAGTGATTTGGCCACACAACCTCGTTTTTCTATAATGGTGGGTTAATAGGACCTATTGTCATTCGGTTTTGGATAGCTTCAGGATTTTCTTTTTTATAATTATATTTTCCAACAGTGCACTGGTCCCTTCCAATCCGAGCCCACTTTACCATCCCACATTGTTAATCAAGTGATTTTATACTTTGCTCTTTGGTTGCATAAATGCTTATTGACTCTAGCAAAACAAGTTATCTATGACATCATGAAAATGTAGAAATGACTGTTCAAGATTGTACTAAAGATTATTTTTTATTTAAAAATATGTTAAATAATATTTGTTTATTTTATTTTTTAAAATCTATATCAGTACATTAAAATAATTTTAAAATACTAAAAAATATATAAAAAAATAGATTTGGATGAAAAACAATTTCAAACATAATAGCAAACACCCCTAAGATTTTCTTTATTGCATTAAACTCAAACTCACAAGCAATGATGCGTGCAAGTATGAAAGTTGGGGAGATAAACATGTCAGAGCCATAATAAATCAACTGACATTAAAAATACTCAATTCTCTTAAAAAAAATCCTTATTTAATTTTGGGCTACATACTTATATAATAATATATAGAAAAATCCAAAAATTTTAAAACATTTTTTTTCATTTCAAAAACACAAAAAATATCTATGGTGAAAAATTAGTGCCGACAAGCTATGAGTTTAAATAACAATAAATTATTTTATTGATAAATCTAAAATCTTGGTACTGTGACATCTGCTTTTATATTTTAATAAGATTATTAGTTTAAGAAAATTAATTAACTCCATCAGAAGTTTTATTGTTTACTTAAAAACGTTTTTAAAAGAAATCGAATATTGACCCACCTTGTTTGAAAAAACAAATCTCTAGCTGCATCAAAGCATTAACTAAACCCTAGTTCATTTAAATTAGATCCTCAATGATTAATCATCTTGCCGAGAAGAGACCTTCGAGCTATCATAATTCCTGGAATCTAAGCTAGGGGATGCCATTAATGTAATGTGTAACTTTCACGATAGTTGGGCTCAAAAGGGTATTAAAATCGCACCACATGCCATGTTTATCAGCACATGGAGGAGAAGGTTTTGGTTTTAAAAAACATGGTCAAAGTTCGTGTTCGTCGACCAAGTTGTGCTATTAACTGCAATCAATGACAGGAGACAGGAGCTATTTATTCATCGCGGAGGATTTTTTTTTTTTTTTTTTTTGTGGGACAAAGCTTCAATTGAATATTCAAGGTGTCAAATCTCTGCCCACAAATAGTTTTTCTTTTTTCTTTGTCATATGATCAAATTTATTTATGAAAGTGAAATTTTATTATTTTTTCAAGTATTGTTTATCTAAAAATATATTAAAATAATATTTTTTAAATATATTTTTGAAATTCATATACCAAAATAATTTTAAATTGAAAAAAAATATTTTTAACCAAAATAAAATTTAAAAATTTTTAAAATCATTTTTTGAATATAAAAACAAACATATTCTAATATTCTTATTAGAAAAAAAATATATTAACAAAAACACATTGACGTGGTTTTTTTAATTGTAAACATAGATTCAAA